AGAACGCGCCTCTTTCTAATTTTTGACGCTCACAAATAAAAGAAAAAAAAAATGCGTAATCCGCTTTGCGTATATTCGCCGGTTACGGCGAAAGACGTGCGGTATGAGGGTCCCCCTCTCGACAGGAACATAACAGGGGTAGACCAGACGGACACGAGAAACGAGCGTCTGCGCAACTCCTATCTACACGCGGCTCGCACACAGGAAAAAAAAAAAAAAAAAAAAGACGCTCAAAATACGACGATCTTTATCCGATGACGAGGTCGAAAGATAACCGACAAATGTTAACAAAGCCAGTTCCGAGCAGCCGCAGAAATTCCCAACAGTGTCGTTGCACGCGCGGGCAACCCTGGAATCCTCCCGCCGGTTGCTAGGCAAGCCCGATGACGTATTTGAGACCGCATATATTGCCTCACATTCTTTTGCAACATCGTTAAAGGAAAATTTAAGAAAAAAAAAAAAAAAAGAAGCAACACGATATGTGCATGTTGTCGCCATACCATTTTTCTCCGTCCTGGAAGTATATTGAGCCACCGAGAAGAGACAGCAGCAGCGCTGGTCGTTCTTCAGTAAAAGTTATTGTACAAAATTAAAGCTCTAATCCAATATTAATAAATGACTGCATGAAAGGACCGCAACTGTACAAAAATAAAAATTAACTGAGATAAACAAGTTAGAAAACAAAGAAATTTGCGTAGAGTGGCAGAGATCATGTGTTTGGAATCGGATATACTTGCCAAAAACGTTGAAGGGGAACATATGGGATGGCTTGTATGTCTGAGGCAAAAGAAAGAATTTCTTGTTTATTCAATTAATCGATTTATTTATTGTTCTGCCGAGGCTACCAAGCGAGGAAATTACAGCCGATGCTCATCTTCGAACTCTGTCAGTGATTAGTAATGTGAGTTGTTATCATGCCGCCAATGTAATTCATTCTAGCAAGCTCCTGCATCTCGAAGAACCTGCATCGTAGGCATTAATTACACCATGCCCAATGCTTCAATGCACAATATACTGTCGAGACCAGTTATAACGAAATAGCCGCCACAGCAAAGCGATTGCGATTTCCCCTTCCCTTTGCACTTCGTTATAACCGGAGTCAGTTATAACGAAATATTGGATATAGCGAAGTGATTCTCGATTCCCACTGACTTCGTTATAACCGGTCTTGACAGTAGCAGGCTGTGTACATGATGCTTGTTAGGCACGTGCATAATATTGCTCATTGACAATGCAATCATTGAATGCAAAAAGATCCTCAAATCGTTTGAAAAAAAAAAAGAAAAACAAAAAGACAAACTTGTTTAACCAGGTTCCAGATACAGGCAATGTTCACCATCACCAGTCAACTAATACGGTAAGAGTTCTCATTGTCACGTGACCCCAAATGGTCATTTAAGGACCTGTAATGCATGCCCCAGATGAGAAGAAGGGATGCAGCACACTGATCATCTCTTGTGAAGCAACTCTTGTAATGTTCCCATGACGTTAGAACCCCTACAAGCAGCACCTAACGGATGGCAGTCTGCATTGTTAACCTGCAAGTATTATACTTCTTTCAAACTTAAAAATTACAGGAGGACGCTTAAGCTTCGTCTTTAAGAGCGGAACACGTTTGCTAAACATATAAACCCGTGCTGGTTCCCAAGCCGTGCAAGCGTGTCTGCGTGACCCAGTCGGTACCGTGCCTGGCCCGCAACCGAAGGGTCGTGAGTTTGAACCTCGCCTCCGCCTAAAACTCTTCAAATTTTTCTTTAAGGCAAATGAATTGCTGTACAAAGCGAAATTGTTTGAGACATGCTGTGACTTGATTTGCATTACATGTAACACTTTCACCACTTTCATTCCCTGTGCGATGCAACGTTTCACATGAGCGTTGTGTGACGCCACGACCCTATTTATTTATTCATTATACCTTGACCCTACAAAGGAATGGGCTGCTGAAAAATTGCGGAAGTAAAACAACAAAGAAACAAACGCACTCAAGAAGGACAAAATTTATACATGAAACTATGAACACGTTATCAGCTTAATAGTTTTAAAACGCACATATTACAATGATTCGCTTAGTAGCTCTCTAAAAGTATCCATATTGTTAGCAGTAACGACGTAGTTGGGCAAAAAGTTCCATTCTGTTATTGGTAAGGATATGAAACAATCAGGATATTCCCGTGACGGTATCCAGCTAAAAAAGTACCGAACTGTGCTTTGTTGGCTTCCTTGCAATTAGACACAAGAGTGAAATCATAGATTTGAGTTTGCCATCAGATTATTCAAGGTTCCTTCATATCATCTAGCACTAACCTCTTTCTTCCTCAACTTTATATGTGCTTGGCTGCTTTTTGGTCCCTCATGAACCTTTTAAAAGGTTTTTTACTTAGCCCGATAGCCGCATATATAGGAGGATGCACAAATAATCTGCAAGAAACCAAATTGGTGATTGGGGTGCTTCCAGACGCTGGTGTTCAGAAAGGATTAAACATAGTGAGACAATGGTGGTGTCATAAATAATTTTTAAAAAAGGTAGACAATTACTTTTTCCAGGTTTGTGTGTGACCCAGCGTAACCGAAGCAAGTACACTGGGGAAAAAAAGCACCCCCAATATACCCTTCCAGAAATTCAGTGCCTTCAAGTGACTCAAATACCAGTCTAAATTTCTGTATGCTAATGGCAGTTAAAATCTTGGAACTATTCATCACTGGCAAACCTATGAATGTTATAAGCTGGTGTCACACTGATCACATATCATACAAACGACAGTCTGAATACAGATTCAAACGCGAGTCACCGTGAGATCCGTGCTTCGTATGCCGCATGGCAATGATTTGAAGGAAAAAGCTTGGGCCTGCGGCATTCGAACTATGGATGTTGTGCTGACTCATGTTTGCAGACTGTCTTTTGTACAATGTGTGAGCAGTGTGACGCCGGCTATAATGTCCTTCACTTTAGAGTACAGTTCTCTTTGTTTCAGTTACAATGGTGTCAAAAAACTACCAGTCTGTCCAAGGAGCTTAGTTGAGTAAAACTCTCGATATTATTCACATTTTAGTGTCACGAGCTGTCTGGCGCGTGCCGAAGCAAAACAAGTTACATCATACCCTCAAATGTGTAGTGCAAGGAAGGTTATGTGTCTGGTCAGGGTGACATAGAACTACACCACAGCGAACTAATGTCTGAAATGTTCAGACTCCGCATCGGGGCCTGTCTTCACATTCTCGCTTTGACAGCCATCAAAAGGCTGCTATCAGCAGTTACAGACGATATACACTTAGGTGATGATAATTACTGAAGTGGCCAGACTGAATTTTGAAGAGGGTGAATGGGGGCAATCCGCTCGCTCTCCTCAACGAGGTCATCGGTCGAAGTGTGTCAAATGATGTGCTCTAACTGCCACAGTGATTTCAGTGCAGCTGCGAATGCCAGAAAGTGGCACAACAGCTGCGAAAGGTCTGCAGTGGAAGTGGCCCACTTTTACATAAGCTACATCCACTGGACATAAAGAGTTATTTAGCTGGTCGTGTCTGAACGGAAAAACTTGCAACAGGTGTGAGGCTTTCATGCAACTAACATAATGTTGTGGTTTGTGTGAACGTTCAATATAACTAATATAATTTGTACATGCAGTGTCCAAAAAACAAGAAAACTCAGATTTTTTTTTTTTTTTTTTTTTCAATTTATTGTATTTTTTGGGCTACAGTTTGTGCATTATACATGTTGAAAAGTTGCAATTTTAGGCTGTAGGGACTACCTAAACGTGCCAACTATACAGGAATTTAGATTTTTCAAGATCTTTCATTATGACGAGACGTGACGAATTGCTTGAATGAAAAAGTATGTTAATGATGATTTATATATAATACAAACTTCTTTGTGAGCTAAGAAAGCACATTTGTCAAGGTGTGCCGTGCATGAGAAGATTTTCGTGTCGACTAAGCAGCAGGTGGTTAGTTGACTGAGCACCGAGTGCATACTATCTAAGCAAAAAATGTATTTTTGAACCTGAAATCTGCCTTAGTGGACTATAGACCGGGTGATGACTATAGCCCAAAAAATGTGGTAGGTGTTTTGCTATGTATTGAGAAAACAACAAAAAGTAAACAGTCCAAGGAGGCAGCAGTCAAAAATTAGGATATTGATTATCACACATTTCTATTTTCTTTACTGCAAAAGTATGTTCTCAAATCAGTGTAACCTCTCCGAGCACTATTATCGAATATTTACATCAATTTAGATTGAGAGCTGCTGAAAGCATATTCAGTTCTCTGGCGACAGGTTTCTCAGCTAAACCCAAACTTTTGAATAAAGTGCAAGGCATGGCACATCTGACATTAAGCACCTGTCACAAACCACGAAACATTACTGCAAAACTAGACATCCGGTTCGCAATGGTAAATTTTCTCGTTCAATTATCAGAAGGAAGTATTGTGGCGGTCCCCCATTTTGGTCCTGCAAGTATCGCGGCAAGCGACCGTCGTTCTTGCAGGAGACGGCGGCATGCGACCTTGGTCAACAACGGCACCGCAGTGCAACGGCGCAAGTGTGCACCACAGCGCTCTGGACAGTGTTCTTACGTGTGACCCTGCTCCAAAAATGAGGAGATGCTAGCGAAAAGGACCCCGACAGTCTCGATCCACCACGTAGTTACTGTAAAACAAGGCACCACGCCTCAACAGAGACAGGCCTTGCATCATAGGTCAAATAATTAACCACCGTTACTCGCTGCCACGAAGGATCTGCAGCCTCAAAGGTAGAACTGGGACCAACCTATGCTCGGTTTCGCCTTATGACAAAGCGCGGAGGACACCACAACCTGTGGGAATGTTGGACGACCTTGAGGAAGAACGTGGCGACGCACTCAAAGCGCTCGATTAGCCGCGACGACTCGTACCATTCGCAGCGGTCCATTGTAAGGTGAAAGGGAGTATAGTAACCCCCGCCAATTCTCGGAGTCGCTTTGCTCCCCAAAATTACATAGAAAAACCGAGGTTCCCCTGCTCACCGACTGTTGCTGCTGCTGCTGCTGCGACGCCGTCGAACCGGACTGGCCTACCCCGGAAGATGAAGATGAGGATGACGTGGGTGTCGGGGGTTGCTGCGCGGACGAGGACGGTGCCTGCTGCTGGGGTCCCCCCGGGGAGGGTCCCTGGGACGGGTAGCCCCCGTAGCCCGACGGGTGCGAGTTGGGGGTGCCCTGGCGAGATGGGGGCCCCTCCCCGCCCCGGGATGGGGAGGCAGAGCCCTGGGGCGGAGGGGTGGGGCGCTCCTGCTGCTGCGGGTGCGGGGACTGGGCCGGGGAGTGCGGGGGACCCCCCAGGCCGGGCTGCTGCTGCTGCCCAGAGGGTGCGGGCTGGGACTGCTGGCCTGGCTGTTGGGACGCCTGGGGCCCCGACGAGTACGGGGACATCTGGGGAAGGGAGCGGGAGGGCACGGTCAGCGTCCAGACGATCTTGTCGAAGAATGCCAGTCAAGCTTTGCACCAATCATGAATTCTCGGAAATACCTATAAACACTGCAAAAATGCAAACAGAGCTAAGGACAAAGACGAGTAGAAGTAAACAGGAACAGCGCTTCACTTGTACTTAACCTCATCCAGAGCACTGTTTCTCCAGGGTGTCTAGCAAATTATTATTTTTATACTACCTGACTTTTCCAAGTTTCCCCTCACAATTTCAGGTAAAAATGCCTGATTACTGTAGAGGCGGCTAAGTATATGAGACCATTACAACACAAGGCATTGAGCATTGAGCACTGTGAGGATCATTTTGGATGGGCTTAATCCAACTTGTATATTCCGAAATATTTGGGTTCATCCAGTTCGTATTAAACGAGCACTTTCTTGCCACCGATGTCGTCAGTGAAGAGGCCACTTCTGGAAACACGACCCTCATCCACACCCACCAATAACCAAATAGCAGCATGGCCGCCAGATGCATACTTTCGGTTTCCCGGTCCCGACTTTGGCGTAATGCTATGGAGTGGCACGAAACGCCTGGGTTGGGGCTTCAAGGAACTATATGGTCATCACGGGGGCTAACTTAATTTTTCAGCAGAACAAAAAATTTTCCACACACACTTTTCAAACTTGTAGCATTTGTTTCATAAAGGGTAAAGTAAAAAACGTAAATCTTACATTTTTTTTAGTTCTAATACTTTGCCAAAAACATTAAATTAAAAAAAAAAAAAGAAAACCTTATATTAGTGGTTTACAAATGGCGTTCCGCGGACCTGCTGCGGTCCACGAAGCCCTACCATCAACCCTAACCCCACCCACTCAGTCTTTTCTTGAAACAAAAGAAGTTTTTTTTGTAGACCCTGGCTAGGTGGCGCAAGCTACTGCCCATTATAAAATGTACAGACATTAACATCTAACTATCCATTCATACTCTTACTTGATGCTTCTCACTTCTGTTCATACCTGCCAACCAGTGGACTTTCACATTCATAAAACTCCCGCAGCCGCAAAGGGGGGGGAGAGGGGGGGTATTTACGTGAAGCGATGTGCAGCTTAATGCCAGCCTTGCCATCGTGCGAAACGCTTACATCACAAGTGCACGTGCTACAGAATCCAAACTCCTCTCCCTTTTTGGACGGCACGAAGCACGGGAATTCTGACATGTTGGACTTCAGGAACACATGAAAGTACCTCTTTTGAGGTTTGGAGTTCGCCATTGCGCCGCAAAGCCACAGCGACCAGGGGAATGCGATGATTACATGTGCAACAAACACACACAGACGCCGCACTGCTCGCCTCGAGACTGGCCGAAACAGAGAGGCCCAACCACGTCTGAACACAATATAGGAACACGCCGAACCAATGTGCGCCGCCGAATACACGAACAAAGGCTTTGGGCTTTGGATTGGTTTTGGATCCGTGGCCACTGGATAGACGGATAGTAAAAACCACGACGCTGCCGTGGACGGTACCTATCGCCCTCTTGTGGCGGTGCAACATACTGCCAGCAACGGTTTAAAAAAAAAAAAAAATGTAAAAAAAAAATTAACAAAATTTTGTTTTTCGTAAAATTTCAAGAGATAAAAAAAATCATAGAATTAGTCCCAATTCATAGATTTTACGAAAAATTCGGAAGAGTTGGAAGGTATAGACTGTCTATAACAGTAAGAAATGCCCTTTTGACAGTGCAATTAGTAGTTTTATTTTATACACCCTTCACCCCCTCCCCCTTTCCCCACTGGCATGGGGTCCCCCATCACTTTGACAGGACCCTAACGCATCTATGCTTGAGAACCACTGCGTTAAGTTATTCCTTCCCAAAACTAAGCATGGCCTGTCACTATATTTTATTGCAATTCTAAGGATACTAGAGCACAAGGACATAACTTCTGTACTTCAGTTCACCTAAAATGGTAAATAGAGACCAGGCTTCAGCATGAGCTTTGTGTTGACAGGACCCTAACGCTTGACAGGACCCTAACGCTTGACAGGACCCTAACGCAAGTAAGAGAATCTGTCATAGCTTCAAGTCTGCATCTGTAGCCTTATCCCTAACACTACATCTCAAGTGAAATGAAGCACAAGATGCTCAAACTGCATGAGCATGAATACAGAACAAAATCTATTGAAGCGACAAGCTCGATCTGAAAGCATTCAATGATATGCTGAACGGAATACAGTTGAATAAGGTTTTGACAGCAGCCAGTAGGTCAGGTCCTTCACTGCTGTGGACAAGCCTGTTTCATCCAAGACTGTGTGAACTGTTCACACTTTCCTGGATGCTGCACATGAGCTCATATGTCGCTAGCCTACTGTCATAATGAGGACACCTCATTGTTGCAGTGAAAGTTCATAGGCATACCTTCATCTAAGTTCAAATTGTGTGCAAAGCTCTTGACAAAAGACTCTTGCCCTTCACATAGTACAACCAGGAAGAACAAGCAGGGCGTGCATGTACCTTTCATCGAGGCATAGTAAACCTATATTATTATCACAAATTATGCAAAATTAAATTTTTTGTCAAGGTCTGCGGTTTAATGACAAAATAGCAGAGCACCGATGGCATTAGCTCCTTTGATTGTTAAATAAAGACGCTCAAAAGCAAACGAAAAAGTCAGTGGTTCAATTATTTTCCCTAGTTTTACAAACCTAATTTTTACTGCTGTGAATTTCCATATGCAATTTGTCTGCCTCAATCTTTAATAAAATGTGTAACGTGCTCAGACAAGAACATGTCTTACTTCCAAAACTAAAAGCTTTCATTATCTTTTAGACACCATGAAGTTTCGTAAGGAAAAAAAAGTTCACCAAAATGTCAGCTGAGGCCAAGGATAAAGATTCCTGTTAGCTCCTAAGTAAAAACAAGATTTTTTTCCGAAATAAACAAAAAAGGTGAAAACATTAAACTTCTCACTCCCTCTAAAAAAACGGTGGGTAACGAACTATTCGCCCTCCTTTGTTTGGCCACAAACTGGGTGGCGCCATCTATTGGGTAGTCCTGGTACACTTCCAGCCTGCGTTTATTTCCTAATTTTTTACGCTTCATTCTAACACCAAAGAGCGAACTACGTCTTGCGGTGCTACAAGAGTCTGCCCCCAGAGACGGCATGTCCTGCGTCTGCTCTGCTCCATAGGCACTGCCTTGTTTGTTCATATAGATACGATGACACAGTAGGGGGGCTGCATTTTTTGCAAGACTTAATTTTTCTTTTTAGAAACCTCGCACACGTCGTAGTGCAAGAACATCGGAAATGCATAGCCACGAAACTTAAGAACACCACCGATGTCAAAAGTGCTGTAAAAAGCAAAAATCTTGTTTCATGCACAGCCCCTCTCTCCACAAGAGCCTGCATTTTAGAATATTATTTTACACTTCTTTTGCTGGGGGCAGGGATTTCGGACACCGATCTATATTTGATCCAGCAAATGCTGGAAAACCTGCCATCTAGCTCAAAACCAGAAACGTTTAAGGGCTATTTGCACACTCACACCATCACTATACAACTTGTGGAAAAAGAAGTGGTCATCGGGGGAAAAAAATCAACATTAAACAAAGATTTATCGTAGAAACCCAAGCACGCAGAAGTAAGAAAGAAAAAGAGAAGCGAGAAGAGGGTTGGTAGTGAGGTGTAAGCACCTGCTGTTGTTGGGAGTAGGCCTGGGCCATGGTGGGCCTGGGCTGGCCCGGGTAGGGATGCCTCTGCGCATACTGGGGGTACTGTGCGGGCCCCAGGTAGGGCCGCTTGGACGCCGGGGGTCCCGTCGCAGCTTCGTGCATGCCGCCACCCACCTGCACCACAAGAAAACGAGGACACGTTCAAGTTAGAACCAGTTTCACAATCGCCACGAATGGCGACGTTTGATACGGATGTTTGCACAATGTTCGACGGTTTCATGGGCATTCACAGTCGTAGACTAACGTGTGTGCGAAATCAAATCTTGTAAACATTGCCAAAAAACAAAAGAAGCCATTTGTCATAATTTTTATTTAAAGGCATCGGGCTACTTGAATACTGGACTCCTAAAAGTAGTTAAGCAGTCATTGTTTGTGCATTGCAATGTATAACAAACCTTTTCAACATTCAATCACTTTTTCTTTTTATCCCTTTCCCCTTATTTTTACCACTACTCTACTGCATGAAGGTCTGGCGCTAGCCTCTTAAATCTTGCTGGGGCATAATGTATTTTTTTGTATGTTTTACGTATAATTTACTTTTTTTAGTCTGCAGCCCCCCCCCCCCCCCCCCCCACTACGAACTTTCTTATCATAAATTTCATGGCGCGGTTAGATTATATTAACTCATTTAGAAAAGCAATTCTCCAAATGCCTCCAAAAATAAAAATTTAAGGCAGGTTAATGAGCTAACTCATTAACCCATTTAGCCTCTTTTCGAGTGGGCATCACGGCCCTCAACTTGGTTCATAATACTTCCATTTCCCATCAAAGCGATGGGGGAGGTTGGGGAAAAAAGCTCTAAAATCAGCTCGATGAGCTCCTTCCTCCCTAGAAAATTACACAAATAAAGACAACGAAAGGATAAAGTACACTACATAAATTCAGCACACCCTGCACCAAAACAAAAACAACCTAATTATACAACATCTTTAAACAGAAGCAAATATATAAAGCACATGAAACAACACAAATAATACCTATAATACCCCCCCCCCCCCCCCCCCCCCCCAAAGAAAAATCAATCTTTGCAATTTTTTATTAAGTCATATTCGCATCAAGAAAGAATAACGTCGCATCTCTTTTTGATGCTAATTCAATTTGTATATCGCCATTTTTCGAGATTCCACAATTCTGGAAGTTTACGTTTTAGCATTTGTTCTCGGCAACTTGTTTTCCACAAATAAATGTTCCAAAATGCAAGTGCTGCGCGTGAGATATGCGACCTTTTTTTCTTATTTTGATAAACATGCTAGTTGAACAAGAAAATGCGTATTATTTAATATTTCGCGCTTATAGCATAAGCTGAAACGATAGGCATACATGTCGTTAGTGCACATTATACAATATTTCTGAAACACTGGATGAAGGGGTGGTCACATGAAACGTTTTCTGGCCGCCGCCGTGACTTTCCTCGTGCCCGTGCAATTACAAGCTTGTCAAAGCTACGCTCACGCGCACGCTGCACGTGCTTGCTCGCGTGGGGCACCAGTCGGGGCGCCACGCTTAGAATTGTCTATTTCTTAGCATTTTTTTTGGTAATATGCGCAATTTCTGCAAGTTGTTGAAAGTGGTATTTTTTCACACTAAATGACGGTAATCAAATAGTGTGTTGTACGGAAGCTCGGCTGTAGTATGTAAAGGGTGATGATGAATATAGGTTAAGCCTACGATGCTCGATAGCTTTCACGCGATGTAGTTTGCATGGTCGTCCCAGGTCTGTGAATGACACGCCTCGCGGAACACTTGATAGGAAAAGTTCGCTGCTTCATCGGAGTAAATTTTGAACCGGGAATTCACTTGAGGTTTGGGAGACGTTTCTTGCAGTTTACTTTGCCTTAGAGAGCATGTTCACACACACTCGCTAAACTAAAGCGCCATCATTCCACAGCGACGAAATGTTCAGACTAATAAGGCTAAAATCTGCGCTCGCGATACGAACCCTTCAGAGAGTCCGCAATATAGACAAAGCGTTCACGCAAACGATTTAGTGGTCGACGTCATTAACGAGTAGCTGCTTATCCAACAAGTGACCGATCACGTCACGCTTCAAATGACAATTCGACCGGCAACCGTTTGCACCTGTTCACAAAGAAAAAGAAAGAAAAAGAAACCGACATATCATTTATTTGAGTTACCGAAATGCGGAAGCACTTTCCTTGGCAAGAGAAAGCGAATATATATTTAAAAAAAAAGGGAACTAGAGGCCAACGTCCGACCTTGGAGAGTGCGGCAGCCGAGACCTGCCTCCGACAGACGAGGGAGATTAGAAGGAGGGAGGCGCGTCCTTTCTCAAAACAGCGCCCGATATTAAAAATAAAAGACGAGCACGCGACCAGCCCCCAAACGACCGCCCACCCACCCACCCTTCGTCGCCCGCCAAAGAGGGCGGTTCGTAAATAGACACCCATAAAATGCCGAGTACCTGCTGCCCATGCTACTGCCACCCCCCACGCGGGAATCTTTCTCGTCGTCGACCCAGTCGCGACAAAAGAGCACAGAGGAAGTAAGAGGGAGGGGGGCACCGCACCCAAACAAACACCGTCGCCAGCGGGCAACGCAAACCGCAACAACACACAAGGAAGCTAACGGTATCTACGCAGAAAAAGAAAACAAGAAATACCAAAGATAAGTGCGCTCGTCGAAGTAAATAGAAAGTCAAGCGAACGGAGGAGAACGGAGAGGGGGAAATGAAGAGGGAATGAGTCAGACTAGGAAGCAGCCGAGAAAATAAAGAAGTGCAAAGCCGATATTTCAAACATTTTTCTCCCGAAAGCGCGTCAAGGTCGGCGTCCTCTGCCGCCCCCCTCCCCCCCTCCGTCGCACATACTAACACACTTTCCCTTTCTTCGAAAGGTTTAACTCGCACCAAAGCAAAAGCTACAAAAGGCCAAGCAGAAAGCGAAACGCGCGCCCAGACGAAATACAAAACGCGAATAATGGCAGCGGGGAGCGAACGAGCGAAAAGCTACCGAAAACAAGGAAAGACAAAAAAGAAAAAAAGCGAAACAGAAGATCTCGAAAGGAAAGGCGCAGCCACCGAGAAAGAAAGAGCGCCGAGCAAATAGGCAGAAAGCGTAGATAACGGAACGAATAAAGCGAAAACACAGACGGGCGACGAAACACGCCGTAAAGAGACACGGCCGAACAAAACAAAGACATCCAAGTGCGCGAGTCACTGTTGACGCGGGGGCGCCACCGGCGGCAGGCATGCTCCAGTTCGGTTACAGGGCCAATGAATGGTGCGTCCCCTTTCCGACAGCCGGCGACAGCGTCGCTCAAATCGCGCATCATTCCTCGCAACGTTCACGCGGGCGGCCACGTGCGGCCGGCCGCCCACGGCTTCCTTCCCCGCAAAAGCCACGGCGGTTTGCAACGCACACACTCCCGGAGGTACAGCCGCCACCGATCGCGCAGCTACGAGGATCTTCTCGTAGCTGCTTAACCTTCTTCCACATCACAACTCCGTGTTTCCACGAAGACCTAAGATTCAACACTTGATAAAATTCCAGCAGCATTTACAAAAATGCAAAAGCACGACGAAAAAAAACAAAAAAAGCACGTTTTGTTGTTGTTACGAAGCGCACAAACTGGGATGGAGGTTTCCGAAGCGAGCTCTCTAGAACGATTTACACTTCAGAAACATGTTCCGAAGCAGGATCGGGTGAGGTGTCACGCTGCCTTCCTTGTCGAAAACTCTCGCTCCGCCTCGTCTTGTTCATCGCGACTGCCAAACATTACTACTATACTCCGTTTCACCTTACGTTGTACCGCAGAGAAGGCTAGAAGCGCGAGCTGATAGCGTTGGGAGCTGCTCCTGACGCACGAGAGCTTGTGCCGCCGAGATGTGCCCTAGAGCAAGGCGCTCGCGCTTGTAGCCTTTCCTGCGGTACGTCATAAGGTGAAACAGAGTATAGTGTATTCTCCGTCTGCATAGTTTGGAAATTTTCTTCACTCGGACCATCCTACGCTGGACAAGTCTCCGGTCAATAGGAAGTTTTCGTAGATCGTTTTCGCCGTCCCGCAACGCCCTCTGCAACCCGCTACGATACCCGGAACTCTAGAGTCCACGCCATCGGCGCGCAGGAGTAGTAGCGGCCTCTTCGTTGGGGTGGGGACAACCGCGGTCCACGAAAGCTCTCTAATGTCACCACAAACAGTTATCACACACAGACAGACGAAAATAGAAATCACATGACCCCACTCGGATGACATCATGCTGTCAGGGAACTTCTTTCGATTGCTTTCCTACTGAAAGGCGTCACCACGTTTTAAATGTTGCAAGGATGATGAAAACAAGTCTCATGACTGAATCGATAACTGAGGACCCCGTAGTTATTTGAATCTCACTTGATTTTATTCTCTTCGAATGAACTATGCAGACATCCCAGCGGTGCCCCAACTAAAAGGGGACGAGGGTCTTTATCTTCACCTTTTTCAGTTATAGTGATGGCATTTAGAATATAGATGAATTAGTCAGTGGTGATTCCAAATATGGAATTCGTTTTCAGACAGCTTTACTAGATCCCGAGTTGTCAATAAATTCGACGTTTTAATTAGGTCCTCCTTACGGGTAATTAGCGTAAAATTATCAGAATATTTTATAAATTGCATTTACCAAGGCAAGCTTTGTGTGGTGATGCTGTTTTAAGCCTGATTTTTTTTTTATATTACATTGGTAAAAAAGCATGTGCAACCTAGCTATACAAAAGTGGAGGCTATATCTTTTTGAGACTCATTAATTAAAATTATTGTATGACATATAAAGCGACAAAAATAGCATCACAGCACAAAGCATGTCTTGGTGAATGCAAGTCTATAAATGTTTCTGATACATTTTGAAAAATTCTATGCTAACGACCCGTAAGGACGACCTCATTAAAATTACGAATGTACTGGTAACTCCGGATCCAGTAAAGCTATCCGAAAACTAATTGCATTTTGAAATCACACTAAATTTCAGCACGATAAATTAAAAAAAAAGACCCTCGTCTCTTCTTTACTTGCCAATTCCTAGCGGATCTGCAATTAAAAAAAGGGGGATCGGTGGCCGAGTGGGCTAGCGCACACCAGAGCCGTGTATACAGAGTTTGGTCAATGGGAGGCGCGGGCAGAAC